GTTATTAAGCTTTTGTTACGCACATTACCAAGAAGCTACCGACTAACCCAAGAGGAAAACAGCGTCTGGGTTCTGGGCATAATTTTGGGGACACAGACCCGATGCCCCTTAACAAGGATGCCATAAAATGTGACATAAAGGGTTTGCTGAAATTTGATGTGTTAGGTCAAAAGGCAAAAATGTCACAGACTAGCTGTAAACAACAGTGGCCCCAATCATATGCCCACAAAAGAGCATTAACAATTATCAATGGATCTGTAAATAAAAAGGATAATTTAACATTTACAACCAGAAGGATGAAATAAAATAAAGGAAGATAATCTGATTTTATAGAAAACATTAACTGTGAAAGATACTATAATGGTTATCTTGTGGGGGGAAAAAAACTCCACTACTTAATAATCTGAAGTCATCGTAAAAATCTGAACACTATTTCATCCTTGGCATTAACTGTAGCCTTGATAAGCTGGTAAACATAACATGGTAGATTCTAATGGTAGCCAGTAGATATAATTACAAACATTTGGTGTGAAATAACAAGGAAATGAGCAACAAAAATGGAACAATATAATAACATAAATAATAAGGTTCATAAAACCAGCAGAACAAAATAAATTACAACTGCATGCAAGTTTAACGTTCTAAAAACACATGCAACAGTTTCAAACAACACCAAGAAATATTAACCCTAGGGAACAGGCAGTGGGTGTGAGAATGTCAGAATGGTTCTCTTATTTTTGGCTAAATAACAATATACAAAAGGGGTTAAATAACCACATGGTCAAATATCTTAGACTACTGTGAGATGTTTGAAGAGGTACTGCTGACTTACTGCAAAAAATTTTTTTACATGCTATACTAGTTTTTCCAATAAAAGGTATTCCGAAAGTTATGAAAGGTGAAAGTAGCCATAAATTTTCAACATCGGTTTTCAAGTGTAGATTTTTTATATGCATAAATAGAGCTAACAATACTTAATTTGTATCTTTTTCGTCTTGGCATTACTTTTGGCTATTTATTATATTGGTTTTTTTTTTTACATTCTTCTTCCTCAGCAATTCAAGCCCTTGAGGTTAACTGCTGCAGCTATCACCCGCCTCCATTCATCTCTCTGGTGGTCTTCTTTTCCAGTTGGTGATACCAAGTGTTTATAGGTCTGTCTGAATATACTATTTCTCCATCGTCTTCTTGGTCTGCGCCTATTCAGCTCCCTTGTGTATACAGTGTTTACCTCTCTGCCATCCTCTAAATATGCCCCAGCCATTTCAGTCCAATGATCATTGGTGATTTAAACAGATAATGAATTTCACTGTTGCTTCTCATTCTCCATTCTCCTTTCCTCCCAATGCAATTAAAATTTTCTCTTCTCATCACAGGTTTTACTACCCCCCCCCCCCCCCCCCCAACATAGTTAGTAAACCGATTGTCTTTTTGTCTCTGATGAGCTTCCTTTGTGCTTTTAGCTCATCCTCATCATTCTTTTGGCTATCTATCCCTTTTCACACCTGTAGGCGTATCAGGTATATGGGAAGAGCGCCCATATTTTTACAGACCATCAGCACGAGGTGGGTAATGTGGTCAGCATTATGCCGACCGCCTTTACTTACTCAGGACAGCTATCCTGGCACCTATTTTAGGCTCTGTCGACCTGCCATGATAAAAACCATGCAGCCAGCTGTGGGTTTCGATAGCGGTAAGTTGGTATTATAAGTCAGACACTCAACGCCTAAGCCACGGAAGCCGCCTTATCTTATGTAAGACACACACAAAAGACTATTTTCCCCCGAATTTATTAATTCTTTTCTTACATGATGAATTATATCTTTATACTTATGAGCTTCTGTTATGCCTTAGTCTCCCCTGGTCTGTCCTCATTAATTACATTTTGGCTATCCATGATATGTTGAACACTCTCTAGCAAAACCATATCTGTGTTAAAATTACTTGTAAGTAAGACATACATAAAAACATGTTTCCTGCCATTTAGCCTCCTATGGAGCATAGCTCCTAATCAACACATGTCAAGTTTGCTATTACATGCAGCTGACCCCATGTTTCAATTTAATTCTCTAGTTTTTCTTCTCCATATGTCTTTTCATCTATCTTTACTTCTACAACCATGTGGGTTCCAGTGTTAACACATTCTAGTTATATTGTCCTCAGGTTGTTCAATAGCTGTCCTATTCAGCATCTACTAAATACATATTAAATTCCTCTCATTTGTTTTCTCATGTTGCAAAATATATCGTTTGCATTGATTACTATATTCTTATTAAAGCCTATAAAGATTATGCACAAGAAAGATGTTTCTTTAAAAAAAACGAATATTTTAGGGCGGACATATACTAATGTCAAAAAAAAAGGCGAGTGCACATACTTTTTCAACACTCTCCAATGCTGAATATAAAGAACCATTCTGACACACCCATTACAATAAGCAACAATTTGAAATAACACTATCTTTTTTCAAAACTAAAAACATAACATGCTCTTTAAAACATATAGTTAGCTTGTCATAAATAAATTTCACCGAAGTCTACATTTTATGTGCATTCCTATGAAATCTAATGGTCCCGCAAAAATCATAATCAGTATGTACACAATGTGTTTATATGTATGTATTTACAAGAATTAAGACAATATTCCCAATTGTAACCTGCGGCCTAAAATAGCTTTCCAAGAAAACTTTTGACAGTCAGCTCAACTCTGATACTTCTTCAGCTTTGCACGTAACTTCTCGACAGCTTCTGAGTGCTGACGATCAACATCCTCAGCAGGACTTAAAATATCTGACTGTGATGAATTGTGGTTCAAAACAGGAGTAACAGGCCTATCTCTTCTGAGATTTGTGTCTGCAGAGACAGATGATATCTGAGAAGATGACTGAGAAGTTTGTGACAATCCTGAGCCTCTTAATAAGTGATATCCCTGGACTTTTAGTTCTTGGAGTAGTTGTGTCTTTTCTTCGATCAAAACAGTTTCTCTTTCAGTTAAATGAGACTCAATATGTGCAAGCTGCTCCTCCATAAGTCGCTTCTGCTTCATTAACTGTATCTCTGTCTCATCCTTGAGAAGGCAAAGTTGTTCCAAATGCTTCCTCTCAGCCTCACAATGCTGCAGCTCTACCTGCCTCTGTGTCAACATTTTGTTTAGGTGATCCAGTTCTTCCATTCGTGCCATGAGATCTTCCTGTGCTGTCCTCAGACTCTCCTCTCTCAGCGATCCTGGAAGGGTATCTGACAACTTAGCTGCCTTCCCAGATTCCAAATCTTGAAGCTGTTGCAAGATCTCACATCTCTTATTCTGAAGAGTTACAAGCTGTTTGTTGACTGACATCTGCCACTCTTCGCTTTCCAGGCCCTTTTGATATAATTTGTTATTGAGGAAATTAATAACAGCTGCCTGTTCCCTGATCTTTTTCCTCAAACTGATATTTTCATCCTCCAACATCTGGTTCTGCTCCATGCAAATGGTTAACTTTTGCCCTAACATGTCCCAGCTTCCCTGTGTTTCATGTTTCCTAAGTTTGGAACCATTAGGACTAACATTTGCATTAGTGGCCCCATTCTCTTCCAATGCTGCAGTTTGTATCATTTGATTCTTGAAAGCTGCGTCTTTGCGCAAAACTTCTTGAAGAAGAACACTTTCTTTAGAAAAGACTTCTTTGGTGTCACGAAGATCATGTTGTAATCTACTCAGTTCCTCTGCCAGTTCCTTGTCCTGCAGGTCCGGTATTTCCATGTGTGACCAACTAACCTTACCTTCACCATCCAAATAAACCGATCTCAAGAAAATTATTTTCAGATGAAGCTGATCCATGTTCTGCCATCAGTGTCACATTTAAATAGTTGCACTCAGGAAAGTTTGTACTTGGTAATTCCTCTTCCATTTCCTACAGGAATTTCATCACTTCTGCATTCACTAATTCTATCTGAAGCTCCTACTGGACTTTCATCACTTCTGCATTCACTATTTCTATCTGAAGCTCCTACAGGAATTTCATCACTTCTGCATTCACTAATTCTATCTGAAGCTCCTACTGGACTTTCATCACTTCTGCATTCACTATTTCTATCTGAAGCTCCTACTGGACTTTCATCACTTCTGCATTCACTAATTCTATCTGAAGCTCCTACTGGACTTTCATCACTTCTGCATTCACTAATTCTATCTGAAGCTCCTACTGGACTTTCATCACTTCTGCATTCACTATTTCGATCTGAAGCTCCTACTGGACTTTCATCACTTCTGCATTCACTATTTCTATCTGAAGCTCCTACTGGACTTTCATCACTTCTGCATTCACTATTTCTATCTGAAGCTAAGAGAGAACCATCATCACAGCTGTAGCCATCTAGATGTTTATAGTTTAACTCCTGTGACATATTATCTGAGCTTGTGTGTACACTCTGGTCTTTCAATGATGGACTTCCACATCCACCAGCAAGTGCATTTTCCATATTTCGGAGTTTTAATTTGCTCTGTGCCTCAGGTGTTTCCAAAGTCTCCACAATTTCAGAAACATTGTCACTTCCCTGACATGCTGAGGAGTGCTCTGAAAGACTTTTTGTTGTGCAGGTATTGCTTTCATTATCTGTTACTACAGATGAGCTTTCCTGCTGCTGAACAGCTGTTCTCTGTGTTATCTCCCCCTTTAGCCCTGCCTCTATAGCCTCAAACTGTTTATTCAATTCCCATTCTAATTTACTATTTACATCTATTTGTGCTACAAGTTCCTCTTCTAATCTGTGCTTACTCAGTTCTAAAGAAACAACCCTAGCTAATAACTCTGCATAAGAGATGTCTTTTACTCTTCCAACGCTATCAGAGGAATTTACTGAATCTACTTCAGACTGATTTAAGGAGTTTGATTTGGAATTACTCTCATCATCTTTAGGGAGTTCTGTCAACAATTTAAACTCACTATCAAAAGCAACATCATAACCATCACCTAAAAGATTAAGCACCCACTGGTACAACGTGTGGAACTTGTGCCTCACCTCTTGACAATCCTGGCGCACGCATCGACCATCAAACACCTCCCAGACGCTCTGGTGCTCAGGCTCTCGTTCAAAGCTCCCAGCCTCAATGACCGTGCTTGTCAGTTCCCATTCCAAGGGCAAATCCTGGCTAGACTGCTGTGACATCTCTTCAAGCTCCTCTAGAAAACGCTCCTGTGCAGAGCTGGTGTCGCTCAGTTCACTTTGGGCAGATTCTGCTTCATCCTTGACTGCTTCTCTGTCAACAACTGGTGAGCAAGCCGTAAGAGTTGGGGTGGAAATGGTTGAGGAACTTGTAGACGAGCTCTTTCTGCTAGACATTTCAGGCTGTTTTTCAGCAGTAACTTCAACCATTTGTGCATTTTCTACTTGCCCCAGCAGAACATCAGAAGGATCAGCAATCTCCTGCAGACAATCACAATATAACATGTCATCACATTTTATATTTTAATTTACAATAAACTGTTACACAATTTCTCTTAATGAAAAACATTACTGTTGTTTAAATTAATATTTTTTAAATCAACCAGATATTTCTAGTTTCAAATAAAATAATAAAAATTTCATTCCTGCGTTATTTACTTGTGACTATGAATTTGTAAATCATCAGCAGCTGTTTAAAATTGGGAACAAAATATGGAACTCTAAATTATTCAGTTTTAGAAGAAAGTTTTATATTTTCAATCCTAATGATTTCTTTTCCCTTTCAACATATGCCGCTGAAAGTTGGATAACTCTTAAAGATACAGAACAAAAGTTAAATGCATTCGCAAACAAATGACTGAGGAAACTGATGCATTAAATGTGATGAATTTAAGAAGAGTAAAGAAAAAGAGAAATGTCTGAGCAACCACTAGTATCAATAAGACAGAGAAGATGGCACTATATGGGAGTGAAGAAATAAGAGAAATGTCTGAGCAAACCACTAGTATCAATAGGACAGAGAAGATGGCACTATATGGGAGTAAAGAAATAAGAGAAACAACTGAGCAACCCCTAGTATCAATAGGACAGATGGCACTATATGGGAGTGAAGAAATAAGAGAAACGACTGAGCAACCATTAGTATCAATAGGACAGAGAAGATGACACTATATGGGAGTAAAGAAATAAGAGAAACGACTGAGCAACCATTAGTATCAATAGGACAGAGAAGATGGCACTAAATGGGAGTAAAGAAATAAGAGAAATGTCTGAGCAGCCACTAGTATCAATAGGACAGAGAAGATGGCACTATATGGGAGTAAAGAAATAAGAGAAACGACTGAGCAACCATTAGTATCAATAGGACAGAGAAGATGGCACTATATGGGAGTAAAGAAATAAGAGAAACGACTGAGCAACCATTAGTATCAATAGGACAGAGAAGATGGCACTATATGGGAGTAAAGAAATAAGAGAAATGTCTGAGCAACCACTAGTATCAATAGGACAGAGAAGATGGCACTATATGGGAGTAAAGAAATAAAAGAAATGTTTGAGCAACCACTAGTATCAATAGGACAGAGAAGATGGCACTATATGGGACACATCTTGAAAAGAGACCAACAGAGAATAAAAAAAACTGGCACTGAAATGGGAAATAAAGGGACCAAGGAAACAAGGATATCACAGAGAAACCCTCAAGCAAATGTTGATGACAGAAGGTGTTGGCCAGGATTTCATCCAAGATATTTAAGTGATTGCATAAGAAAGAACAGAATGGAGAATATGACATCTAATGGCACAATAGGACAATGACTGAATGAAATTAATGTGCACAGCTCTTCATATAAGTTATAGAACTGTTTCACAAGTCTCAGTGGTATTTCAGAGGCTCTAATCAGAACTATATTGTGGCCAACACTATACTATCAGTGCCAATTGTGGATACTTACATCCTCCAATAAAAGTAAAATTGTGACAACACAGATTAAATGCCTTAGAAGAGCTGCAGGAGTTCCGAGGAAAGACAATACGAAATCACAAAATCAGACGAATGCTAGGAATAAAGCCAGTCTTACAGGTCGTTAAAGATCAACAAATGAGGTGGTTTGGACACCTAACAAGAATGTCCTAGTACTATCTGCCATAGTGAGCCACGCTAAAATGTTACAATGGGTATACAGTGAGTGAAAGACCTCGAAAATATGGAGTGATGGCATTTAGAACAGCCTTACAGAAATGAACATCAGTCTTAATTGTGCTCTTGACAGAGCTCATCAACGAATGTTACATCTCCCCCTGACATTTCGATGAGGTACAAGGTGGAAGAGAAGAAGAATACTTGGCCCCACACTTCTCGTGACCAAATGTCAAACTATATGAGAAAAGTAGTCAGCAGGGAATATGCCATCAGATTTGACCCTTTCAAGAAGCATGTCCAGTATCAATCAACTCTACACTGGCTGGATGATGGGCTGTGATTCCCAAACCTCCTTAAGGCAAATTACAACACTATCATCTGGGAAGATGGAAAGGTGCCAACTGTTTGGAAAAATACACAGCCACTTACCAGGGATGAAAACTGAGACTATACTTCTTCTCATTAGCCATCATTGACGGTAAATTTAGGCAGAAAGCTTTGGCCCACTTCTGGACTGGTCTTGCTCTAGAACTTTAAGAGTTCTATTCCGTTTTACAGATCTGGCTTATTCGTATGCAGACTTTTGGTTCCTTGCCTCTTTGAAGGAAATACCCGTAATTAGTTGACTTTTACGACATGCCTGTTACTAAGACCAATGTTAAAGTAGGAAGGTAACCAACCAACTCCACAGCAGTAACTAGTAGAATATACTAGTTAATCAATAATTTCTTTTAAAAATACCTTCCTCAAATAACTACTCTTAAAAAAAAATTTTTAATACTTTAGCTGGCTAATCTACAATTCTAACATAAATTAGAATTTCAAAATGTAGGAAGTAGCAATTTTTTTTGTAGCACTATTTAGGCAAAAGGCATGGTACCATGTTCACCGGACTCAGGAAGCAAAGAACCGGAATATCAGGTGTGACTACACACCACAAATAAAATAAAAACAAATAAGATGGCCAAGGAACCTTCCTTTATATAGCAGGCCTTCAGGCAGCTGAAAAAGGATCAAATTTGGAATTTTTGTTGGACAACTGGAATTGGAATTGGACCAGGAAAGAGGGGTAGGGCCTGACAAACACAAATATTGGCACCGGATATAAGTGACACCTTGGGTAGGAAGTGCACCAAGTGGGAGACCTGGTGAGAGACTTAGTTTCTTTCAGGCAGATCGTGATGAGAGTAATGTTCTGCAAAGGATCCGATACATGATGTTGATGAATGTAGCAGGTTCTTTGCAAATAGCTACTCTTATTATAACCAGCAGGAATGACTCAATATTTCATGTTTCCCTGCCTCGTGTATTTTCATGCTCAGTGTGTTGTTAGAATCCTATATCCATATTCCTGTTGGTTTGATCCCTGCCGCCTATTCTGAGAGACATGTCTTCCATTACTGCTCTAGCAACGTATTTTAAATACAATGTTGCTTATCAGCCAGGATTCTTCAATGTTCAAATCTTGAAGAATGTTTGTTAGTATTTCCGTCATCTTAGTCTATGGTATTTTAAGAATTTTATGTTCTATGACTGATATTCTAGCAACAGAAATGATTCACCCTTCTTCTTCGGCATTCCGAGCCCTTCAGGTTCAACGCTGTAAATATCACACATCTTCACTGACCTGGCCTTCCTTTTCTAGTCTGTGACTCCAAGTGACTGTTTGTCTGGTTATATATTATCTCTCCATCATCATCTTGGTCTGACACATACATAGTCCATTCAACTTTTGCGTATGTATTATTTTTCTCTCTGTTGTCTGTCATTCTCTCTGGCCCATCACTTAAAATTATTTGTACTTATAATGCTTCTGCCAAAAGTCAGAATTTTCGGAAGAAAGGGGAAAAAAACTAGATCAGAAATCATGTAATATTCTTTTTCATTTTTTTTAGAAGTGTTTATTTCTACGGAGGGCTATTGGAAGTAGTTAATATGGGAAACTTATTTAAGCTCACAATTATTACTTACTTCATTTCCACTAAGTGTATGGTCCTCAACTTCATCACTGCTCTCAGTTCCCTCTGAATCATGGGACACCAGGTCACGTTCCCCATGTAAAGAACTCTCGCCTGCAGTAGCTGACACTGTTGGATGATGCTGCAGCTCCCTTGTATACTGGTCAGACTTTAATTGCTTCAGCTTCTTCTTGTGTTGTTTCTCCAATTCCTTCTGGACTTTCTGCAGTGCTTTGTTGAACTTCCTTTCCCATTCATACCTGACAGCTTTCATTCTCTGAGCAAAATGTTGTTCTATTTCAAGTTTGTACTCTGCTTGACTTGTCTCATACTCCATGGTTAATTTTATTTCCTGCTGTCTCATCTTCGACACATATTCTTCTTCTAGTTCTTCTTTAATGTCATTCAAACGTTTCTCAAAAGTGACATCCGCTTTCTCCAGCTGATAACTATACTGTAGGTCTCTATAGTTAGAATTAGAGTTATTATAGTTGGAGAATAAAGAGTCCTGCATCCTGCTGTTTCCAGCAAACTCATCATTCCTCTGTGCTTTCTCTGGAGTACTGAAATCAAAACTGCCTTGCTGAGGTTGAATGTGTGATGGAGATGGATCAACAGCTCTTTCATGCTGCCACATTGTGTTAGCTTGCTCATCTAATGTCTCCAGGAGGAAATGGTCTGGTGCCTCTGGTTCAAATCTTTCCCTCATCACATTTTCATGGATGGGATGATCACTATTCTGATTGGAACCATGTAAAGTAACTTCTAGCTGAAACCCATCACACTGTTCTTCAACAAAGTCTGACTTTTCAACAGATGTATTGTATTTATTTACTGCAATTGGCTGTGACAATCTGCGCGGCGCTAAAAATTTCACAGGTGGCTCGGCTACAAAACCTTCTACAATGGGCAAATTCTCATCAGATGGTGGCAAACATTTGTCAAGACCATGCTCATCTGATGGAAAAGTTCCCAAATCCATTGGAGAGAAAGCTGAAGATCTTTCAGAACTGTTTAGCGAGGATACATTAGTCTTCAATGAAGTGTTGTCACATATGTTTACTGACATATTTCTTATCTTTTTACTGCTATGCTCATCACCAGCCATCTGCAGTGCTGCATCCTCTTCTATCAGCATTTCCAAAGTACAGACCTTCTCTTCCAGCTGCCTGTTTCTGGTCTGTAATTCTATGACCTGAGATTCATATTCCTTTATTGTTTCAGCTTGCCTGTGATCAGACTCCGACAACTGCTGCTGCAGCTGAAGTATTTCCAAATTCAACTCTGCAGTTTGTCTCTGCTGCTCTTCAGCTGCATTTTTCAGCACCGCTTTCATTTCCTCTTCCCTAGAATGTGCCTGGTCTCTCATCATGGCAATGTCATCCTCCAAAAGGGAATTTCTGTTCTGTAAATCTCTTGCTATTGTTTCCAGTTCTTCAACTCTCATGTCAACAGCTTGTCTTTCCTCAGAATAGCTCCCTGTGCTAAACATTGACTTTCGTAGCTTCTCCAGTTCATTTGTGAGACTGCAAACTCTGTCCTCAAGTTCATACACTCGAGCCTCAGAACTCTTTTCTAAGCTCTGTAAGTCCTTTTCATGATCAAATTTCATTTCATCCAGATGTTTCTTCAACCGAGAAATCTCCATTTCTGAGATTCTCCTCTTCTCCTCCACATCAGATAGCTGAATCTCATAATTCTGCTCAAGATCATATTTTTCTCTGTTAAATTTTGTGGTATTTTCATTGATGAGTCGTTTTTGCTCAGCAACAGTCCTTTCTAGGGCCAAACAGCTTTCCTCTAATTCATTGGTCTGAATCTCATAAAGTTTCTTCAGCCCAGCCATTTCACACTTATGGTTATTTGTAATCTTTGACAGATGGTCTTTCAGTTTCAGCAGCTCAGAGTTTGTACTTTGAAGATGCAGCTCTTGTTCAGAAAGCTGATGCTCATAAACATCCTTAGCCGAAGCCGATTTGGCTTTAACTTCAGTTAATTCCTTATCTAATCTTTCGCACTGCTTCTCAAACTGCAGTAGTTTTTCTTCCGTCTGGGCTATCTGCTGCTCATAAATTTCCTTCATCTGGTTTTGATCTTGGCAGACATTCTTTGTCTCCTCCGCCAAATGAGCCCTCAACCTTTTCAGTTCTATTTCTTGGTCGCTGATCTTCTGCTGCACTTCCTCCATGCAGGAGTCAAAATTCGCCTTCAACATCTCTTTCTCTTCTTTACTTCTCTCCATTAATGAACAGTAAGATTCAACCTCTTGCTTCAAAGAAATACTAAAAAGATCCTTCTGCTCCAGCTCTTGCTTCAAGTCATTGATTTCCTTAATGTACATTTCGCAGTCATGTTGCAGGTCAAATATTGTTGCATCCTTTGTGTCCAAGTCATAAGTCATCTGTGTGAGCTTCTCGCTCAGTTGTTTGCTCTCTACCATAAACTGGGTGGCAGTTAACTCTTGACTGTCAAACTCACTCTGCAGTTTGGATATTCTTTGTTCCAGATCACACTTGTTTTCTTGCAATACATCAATCTCGGCCTTTAAACCAAAGTTCAATTCATTTAACTCATTTATGCTGAGATTAACCTGAGTAAGTGCCTCAGAAAGATAATTTAACCTCACAGACTGTTCATCAATTAGCAATTGCTGTTCAGTCAAAGCATCTTCCTTCGCTAGTATTTCAGTTTCAAGATATGAAGACATGCCGAGCAGCATTTTACAATTTTTTTCAACAGCCAAATGCTGAGCTGAAAGCTGTTCCAGCGTTATTTTATCATCCGCAGCCGACTGCATAATTTCTGAGATTTCCATTTCCTTCTGAGCAATTAAGCTCTCCATTTCCACAACTTGTTGCTCCAGAGCTTCTCTCTGATGAATTATGTCTGTCAAATGGGCATGTGACTCTGAGTTTAGTGCTTCGTTTAGCTGCTGAAGTGATATGTTCATCTGATTAATTTCCTGAAGCTGTTCATTGGCATGATTCACCTTATCTGTGAGTTGTGATATCTCTTCAGCTTGTTCTTGCAGCTTTAGTTCCTGAAGTACAATAGTTGCAGACTTGTCTTCAGCTTCCTGTGATAAAGCCGATAGTGCTGCTTCCAAAATTAGATTTTTCTTCAGAGTGTTAAACTCCTGTTGCAGAGATTCATTCTTAGCTGCTGTAGCTGATGCTGTCAGTTCTGCAATAGCTGATTCTTTTTCCTCTATATAACTTTTCAAGTTTTGCATTTCTTGAAATAGTTCTCCTCTGATGTGTTCAAATTCCTCTTCTTTAGCCTCATGTTCTGTCTTCTGCAGCATCTCAGCTGCATTTCTGATTTCAGAACCATGAGATATTTCCTTTATTTGCTGTTCTAAAATAGTTATTTGACTACTGATTTCAGAAAGTTCTCTTTCCTTCTGTGTTACAATGCTCTGCAGATAATTCTTACTTTCTTCACTGGTATCAAAGGCCAACTTCAAGCCAGAATGTTCTGTCTTGAACTCAAATAAGTCAACTTCAAGTGCCTCTAACTGATCCCGAAGTGTGATTACCTGCACATCAGCATCATTTTTCTGCATGGTCACAAGAGCCAGCGACTTCTCACTTGCAATCAACCTGGTTTGCAAAGCTTCATTCTGGGATACGGTATCACACAATTGTTGCTCCAACATCATGTAACGTGACTCTGCAACTATTTCAGAATCTCTAGCAGCTTTCAAATCTTCATTAACTTTAATCAGATCTGCATTCAAGATGTCCAACTGGCCGACAACTTCAGCATGTCTTTCTTTTAAGGCACTGAGTTCAGATTCTTTTTGCTCTATGTCACCTTTCATTGCTGTCAGCTCATCAGTAGTGGAGCCCAAAGCATTTGTCAAGGATGAGATCTGGATACTGGATTCACTGATTTTCTCTTTTAAGGCAACCATCTCTGATTCTTTCACCAAAAGTGAATGATCCGCAGCTGCCATTTCCTTATCGCTGTTGTTCTGAGTTAACAGCAACTCTTCCACCCTGGTACTGGCCTTTAAGAGCTCTTCTGACAAGTTACTGATTTTGCATTCCTTCACGCCTAATTCTTCCCTCAAAGCACATATCTCAGACTCCTTTTCAATCATACAGTTTTTCAAAACTGTCAGTTCTTTATTTGCATTTCTCAAATCAGTCTGCAGGATACCTACAATGTTGCCAGATTCCTGAATTCTCTCATTAAAAGTGCTAATTTCCAATGCCTTATTATCCAAAGCATTCTGTAATGCTGCCAGTTCATGGTTTGCACTTTTTAGTTCTGAATGCATCACTTCCACCTTATCATTGGATTCTTGGAGCTGTTCATTTAAACTTGTCATTTCCTTCTCCTTGTTTTCTACACTACACTTCACAAAAGCCATCTCCTCGTTTACCTTTGTGAGCTCTGAATTTAATGCATTCACATGACTGGTGGCTTCTTTGAGCTGTTCCTTCAAACTACTTATTTCAATGTCGCTATTTTCTGAAGAGCTCTTCATGGATGTTAATTCCTCATTTACATTTCTGAGATCCCAAAGAAGTACATCCACCAGAGTGCTGATTTCTTTAACTTGTTTATTCAATTTACATATTTCTAAATCAGTGCTTTCCAAACTGCTCTTTACAGATTCCAGCTCCTCATTTGCCCTTTCAAGATCTGCACGCAGCATCTGTACATTGCTGTTAGATTCTTGGAGTTTTTCATATGAAACACTGATTTCTAAGGTTTTCTTAACTAATGTGCATTTTACAGATACCAACTCCTCATTTGCACTTTCCAGATCATTACGCAGTATGTCCACGCAACTGCTGCCCTCTTGCAATTGTTCAGCCAAAGCAAGCATTTCTATATCTTTGTTTTCCAAAGAGCTCTTTAATGCTCCTAACTCCTCGTGTGTGTTCTTGAGATCTGCTTGTTGTGTGTTCACTTCATTGCTGACTACTTGAAGCTTTTCATTTAGAGCACTAATTTCCCAATCTTTGTTTGCTGCTGCATTTTTGACAGCTGCCAGATCCTCATTTGCCTGTCTGAGATCTGTATTTAGTACATCCATGTGGCTGTTAGCTTCTTGGAGTTTTTCATTTAAGGTATTGACTTCTGATTCCTTGTTTTCTAAACTGATCTTGATAGATGCCAACTCTTCATCTGCTTGTCTGAGACTATGATCTAATATGTTTACATTGTTGCTGACTTCTTGGAGATGTTCAGTTTGTTGTTTCAAATGTTTTACTTCGATGTCCTTGTTTTCTAAACTACTCTTTATATCTGCCACTTCATCATTTGCAAATCTGAGTTCTGTATTAAGTACATCCACCTGTCTGCTGGTTTCCTGCAGCTGCTCCTTCAAACTACTGATTTCTATATCTTTATTTTCTGAAGTACTCTTCACAGATATTAATTCTTCATTTGCCTTTCTGAGGTCTGCCTGCAGTACATCCAAATGAGTGTTGGCATTGTGCAACTGTTCAGTCAAATTATTGATTTCTAACCTGTTGTTTTCCACGGTGCTATTCAGAGCTGCTAATTCTTCATGTCCATGTCTGAGATCACTATGAAGTTTGTCTACATTACTGCTGGAATCCTGGAGCTGTGAATGAAAACTCTGAATCTCCATGTCTCTGTTCTCTAACATGCTCCTTAAAGTTGCTTCTTCCTCTTTTGCAGTTTCAAGATCATTATGCAGTATGCCCACATGGTTGTTGGCGTCTTGGAGCTTTTCATTCAATGTCCTAATTTCCACATCTTTGTTTCCTACAGTGTTCTTTGTACTTTCCAGCTCCTCATGTACCTTGCTGAGTTCTGTATTTAGTTCATCCAAGTGTCCGCTGCTTTCTTGAAGCTTTTTATTCAAAGTTATAATTTCCATCTCCTTGCTTTCTAAACTAATCTGCAGAGTTTGAACCTTCTCATCTGTATTGTTCAGATCTGTCTGTCGCACATCCAAATAAGTTTTGGCATCTTGGAGTTTTTCATTCAATTGACTAATTTCCATGTCTTTGTTCCCTAAATCATTCCTCACAGATGTCAGTTCCTCAGTAGTCTTTTGAAGTTCCATATTTAATACATCCACAAGACTGGTATGATCTTGAAGGCTTTTATTCAAAGTGTTGATTTCTATGTCCTTGGTTTCTAAACTGGTCTTCAGAGCTGTAACCTCTTCATTTGCATTTTGAAGAGCACTGTGTAGTGTGTCCAAATTGCTGCTGACTTCCTGCAGCTGTTCAATTTGTTTCTGCAAACTAATTATTTCCACATCTTTGTTTTCTAAGCTGCTTTTTATCATTTTCACTTCGTCATTTGCATTTCTCAGATCTGTTGGTAGCAGATTTACACGAGTGTTGGCTTCATAAAGTTTTTCATTCAGATTACTTAGTTCGAAGTCCCTGATTTCCAAATTGCTCTTTAAAACTGCCAGTTCCTCCTTTGCCTTTTCAAGGTCAGCCTTCAGCATCAGTACATTACTGTTAGATTCTAGGAGCTTCTTATTGGAAACACTGATTTCTAAGGTCTTGTTCACCATCAGGCTCTTAAAAGTGACCAACTCTTCATTTGCACTTTCCAGGTCATTACGTAGTATATCTACACAACTGTTGGCTTCATGAAATTGTTCAACCCAAGCAAGCATTTCTATATCTTTGTTTTCCAAAGAGCTCTTCAATGTTGCTAACTCCTCGTGTGTGTTCTTGAGATCTGCTTGTTGTGTGTTCACTTCCCTGTTGACTTCTTGAAACTTTTCATTTAAAGCACTGATTTCCCTATCTTTGTTTGCTACAGTATTTTTGACTGCTGTCAGCTCCTCATTTGCCTGTCTGAGATCTGTATTTAGTGCATTCAAGTGGCTGTTAGCTTCTTGGAGTTTTTCATTTAAAGTAATTACTTCTGATTCCTTGTTTTCTAAACTGATCTTTAAAGATGTGACTTCTTCATCTGCATGCCTGAGACTACTCTGCAGTACGTCTACATTGCTGCTGAAATTTTGGAGCTGTTCAATTTGTTCATTCAAACTCTTCATTTCCATGTCCTTGTTTTTTAAGCTACTTGTCATACTTTCTACTTCCTCATTTGTTTTTCTGAGTTCCATATTAAGTGCATCCACATGACTGCTGGTTTCTTGGAGTTGGTCTTTCATAGCACTGATCTCTATGTCTTTACTTTCTGAAACACTCTTCACAGTTATTAATTCCTCTTTTGCATTGCTCAGCTCTGTATGTAATACATTCAAATTACTGCTGGCTTTGTTCAGTTGTACATTCAAACTTTCAATCTCTAGGCTTCTATTTTCTAGTGTGTGCTTTAATGCTGCTAACTCCTCATTTTTGTTATGGACAATTTCATTTAAAGACTCAACTTTGCTTGTGGCCTCACTCAATTCTTCTACAAGTGTAAGCACCTTTGACTCATTTTTATTGGCTTCAGAAACTGCTTCTTTTAGACTACAAATTTCTGATTCTTTTTCTTTGACACTCTCCATCATATCTACCAGCTCCTTGTTTGTGTTACTGACTAAATCATTTAAGGCATCCACCTGACTGCTCGATACACCCAGCTTCTCTACCAAGCTACTTATTTCAGATTCTTTCTCCAAAACAGCCTGTCTAAGAGTAGCCAGTTCTTCATCTCTTTTACTAATATCACACTGCAACAAGTCTACCTGGTTAATGCCATCACTGACCTTGCTTGTTAGAATAAAGATTTCTGACTCTTTCTCTTCTACAGTGTCCATCAGTTTTATCAATTTGTCTTCTGTTTCATCCAGGGCTGTTTTAAATGCATCCATTTCTATTTCAGATTTACTCATCCTTTCTGTTAAGCTTTGTATTTGCAAATCTTTCTCAAAAACAATGC